AAAAAATCTTCACTATTGTATTGTGCATCTTTTCCCAAACCTGGACAAAGTGATTTTCTTTTCCTTGATGCAAAAGTTATTGGGGCCCAAATTAGCCAATATAGAGCCCATGCATAACATAACTATTTATCCATATCCACATAACTTGGGTTAGAAGCCCAAAATCGTCCTAAATTTTGTGCTCATATTTGTGTTATAAATTAGGCCTAAGTCCGTCCAAAACAAATAACAATGGGTTATACATTAGACCCAAAAAGATACTACGTTCCACAAATCCCTTCCTCTTTCATTTTTTTTGAATTCTCTAAAATACTTCCACTTTCTATTAAAAAACTACTTTTATCCTTACTTTTTCATACCATATCTATCACATCATACTTTTTCTCTAATAACCAAACTATCACATCTTACTTTTATCCATCACATCAGGGCCAAAATTGGAAAGTCAACCAAAATTACACTTTTATTATTTTTGCCCAAAGTCAAAAGTGGAAGGGTTTAAAGGAACAGAGGGAGTAGTATTGATGTTCAAAAAAAGATAGTATTGGGTTGAGTGATTTACAAAATAATACTCAATAACTATGTGTCTATGTGTTATCTCAAATTAGTCTCTAAAATTAACTACTCCCTCCGTCCCACTGTCTTTGTCCACTTACCTTTTGGCACACCATCTAATGCACTTCTTTAATCCATTTTATCTTGTAATTTGTATATTAAAAAATTATAGAAATTATATATTAATAATCTATATGTTAAGACAAATCAAACAAGATCACACATGACTATATTTAGGCTTACACATCGAGAGAATTTGATGAGTCAAAGTGCTCAGATTAACAGTTCCAAAAGTCAAAAGTGGACAAAGACAGTGGGACGGAGGTAGTAATTTTTAAAATTATACCCACAAATTGAGAATAGTACTCAGTTTAGTCCCCCAACTAACGGCCGTTAAAACGACGTTAAAACTTATACTCCCTTCGTCCCATTTTTTATTGCCCGTTTTGACTTTTGGGCATATTTAAGAAAAGGAAAAAATAGTGTTGATTTTTCAAAAATGCCTTACTTTTTTACGGGGTGGTGATGAATAAGAAAATAAAGGGGAGAGGAGTGACTTATTTTAGAGGTAGTTTAGATATTTTACCCTTAAAATTTTATTATTATATACGAAACAGGCAACCTATTTTGGAACGGACAGAAAAGAAAAGCAGGCAATTTAAAATGGGACGAAAAGAGCGAGTACAATTTTTCCAAAATAGTACTGTCTAACTGGGTGTCTTCTCAAATTAGTTCATTTTCGAAATAAAAATATATTAATTACGGAAAAAAATATTTTAAATTTTATAGGATGACAATATAATACTAAAAATTATAAATATAATTTTATAAATTTGAAAATAAACGTTAAAGAAATCGCCCTAAATATGAGAAACAAAAAGAAGGTGCCAAAACACGAGCTCTTTTTCTATGTTTTCATAATTAATACTCTATATTTTTATTTCGAAAATAGACCAATTTGAGAAAACGTGTAGTTAGAGAGTACCATTTTAGTAAAGTGGTATAAGTTTAACATCGTTCTAACGTTGTTTTAACGGCCATTAGTTGAGAGAATTGAACTAAGCATTATTCTCAACTAACGAGTACTATCTCAGAAATCAGTTAATTTTAGGAACTAATTTGAATATATATATATATATATATATATATATATATATATATATATATATATATATATATATATATATATATATATATATATATATATATATATATATATATATATATATATATATGCCGGTTCAGGTGAGATGTACCTTAGTGAAAGAAATAAGAATAAAATCTAGTCTTTAGTCTGATGCATTGTGCGGTTCAGATTGCATCCTGCACTCAGAATTTGAGATAATGCATTTTTAAAGCATTTTGGTGCATTTCGACATGACGCATTTTCAAACCATTTTTGTGCACCTAATTTTGATGCAATCCTAATCCTTAGATCTCATAATCTAAAGCACCAGATTCATTCTTATTTCTTTCATAAGATCGCATTCTCATTAGAACCAAAATTTATATATATATATATATATATATATATATATATATATATATATATTT